TCTTTTGAGCTAATGATCCATTCTTTTTATAAACCTATCACATCAATGTCCCGGCGGAAGGGACCGGCGGGTGTAAAGGATTAAGAAACAGTCAGTAGTAATAATAAAATATAAAATTAAACTTGTGAACATGAATATATTCATCAAAATCATAATAGAAACTTCTCACGTTGTTTTGACGTACAGATGGTGAGTAATCGATCATACAGCAACATTTAGAATTAGCAGGATGCCGCTATTTTTACAGATCTTGACGAAATAAATTGTTAATTGAGTTTTAGAAAAGATTCGAGTCTTATGAACTTGAATTTGGCTCTTATTACATGTATAGTCGGCGAGATTGTCTTTCTTAAATTTTTCTCTCAACTAACGTAAGTTGCAAAAATATACGTCATCAAACATTATCAAATTAATAGTGATAATTCGATCTTCAGAGACAATCATCCATCCTGTTACTAATCATCAGTTTAACTTATGTAGGAAAAAGACAAATATTAAATGTTGTAAAAATTCTTTATGAATAATGCAAGTTTACCTACTATATGGTTAACTGGAAGAAAATGACTTTTATTCTTAAACTCGACTTTGTTTGAACTGAACAGATTTATTTACAAACAAAACAGTTGATAAAATAAACAAATTTATTCAGTTCAAACAAAAGGTGAGTTTAAAAATTAAAATCCTACATGAGAGAGAGAGAGAGAGAGAGAGAGAAAGCACATGCATAACATATTTAATGTCATTCAGTTTTTCCAATGGTAACTAAAACAGCAAAGTAAAAGAACGATGATGATATTATAAGACTTGCCAGAACGTTTGTCCAAGTGTTTACTGCGTAATAGATCAGATAAAAAGATTCTTCTTTTAACACGATTCACTGGTTTTACGTCATAAATGTAAAATAATCCTGTTGTAAAGTAAACGTTTTTTCATTCTATTACGCATGGTTTCATTTACAATCAATTCATTCGTTATTTTCTTTCCAAAAAAGAAAAATTTTATTCTGATTTACTCATTAATCACATAAATAAATTAAATTACAGTACATAGTTGTCAACATCTTGAAAAAAAAACAATATTTATTCTTATCGTAGTAAAAAAGAAACGTATTCAAGTAGCAGCATATCGCATGAGTAATATTATTAGAATGTCGGCTGTTGCTTTTACAATAAGACGAGAAAAAGAAAATATAAAATAAAAGAAAAAAATCCAGACAAATGACGTGTACAATGACGAATAAAGAACGTTAATGCTACTGGAAAAGAAATAATAAAAAGAACATGATTTGCTCTGTTAGAGGACTAAAACATGTCGGATAATATCCTTATCATTTTAAACTTCATTCATTGGATATAGATGATTTAAGATTTTGATTATCCAAACTTTTCGAAGATACTAAAAATTGGAGAAAAATGATTGAAGACAAAAAGCCTTGAACGGTTGCGTACTTATTTTATGAGAAAGTATCCTAGTACCATTCTTTACTCCAAATATTAGCAATTTTCTCTATGTATATTCAAGATGTTTGTTTTCTGTATCTCTCTCTTACTAATCTTATATCATGTATATGAGTAAAAAAAAAAGTATAGATAGAAATCACATCATTTCTTATCTAAAAGAGCTATTCATATACAATAAATACTGCAAAAGAAGAGAATAAATACCACTTCATAGGCCATAACTAATTACTCCGAAATGAACTTTTAGTGTCAGGAACAAATTTGTCGATGTAGATAGTACAGATTATATTGTTCGCTTTATTAAAGAATTAAAACAACAAGATGGTCATTCCAATGTAAGTGGTCTGCTATATTTAAGCCTTTTATCTCATTTTGATTTTTTATAGTATTGAATTGTGTTAACTAGAACATCGAAAAAGAAAATCATGCATTTTTGCTCAGACTTAAATGACATGGTTTTAATACTAAACTTTTCATTATCGACCACTAGAATCTCGTGAAACCTTCTCTGATAGAACTGAAAATTTTACTGGAAGTACCCAGCGTTATTGTCCTACAGTGTATTAAAAAACACTTCTGGAAGAACATCATATGTTTGTTTATAGTAAAAAATTCCACCTTCATATGAAATATTATGAAGATCCCAATGATCAAAAGAGCGTGGTATTTCAGAAATGATTAACATAACTTAACTAAACATAACTTCTTTCAGAATAATTTTTTTCGTTTAGTAAGAATACAATAAAATAGGAGTAGAAATGAAAGAATATACGTTAACGTTAATCTTTTAAAAGGTAGTGTTCAACGCAAAAGAATAGAAGATCAGCTTTTTTCAAATTAACAAATACTTATTCGCTATTCAGAGACATACACCTAACTAATCTAATCTTTCTTTGCACATGATTATCCTGTTCAGTGTGTTTTTTTCTTTTCCTTCTTTATGAAATCAAATGAGTATTATGTCGGCTTAGTCTCTCAGTTAATTGTAGATAACAAGCACATAATAACTGCATAACGATCAACCAAAACTATCCAGCTAATATACGATAAAGAAGAAATAAACTTTGCAACCATATACACACACATACATACACTATAATAGAAACACAAGATCAAATATACATAACAAGGGCAAAAATGATATAAATAAAACACGGCTGATAAACTAAGTGGTGTTAACTTTGATACAAGTGATTATAGCATTCAGTTTGTACTGATTCAGATATATTTCTGTAATCTATCACACCATATATATCAAACTAAAATATATAATAGCTAGGATGAGAATTATTATAATAATAGTCATGAGACTTTTAATTGCTTTATAGAAAAATAATATTTTATTAATTGATATTCCCATGAAATTTGATCATATCAAAATGAGAGTGCTCTTTGTTTAATATATCAATCTGAAATTGTTCTTGGATAATTTTTAATGATAGTTCAATAATCAAGATTGTCAATAATTGTTTGCATGTTAGATTTTTAAAGAATAGTAATGATCAGTCGATAATGTAACTATCATTAAAAAAAAATTTTGAAATGCTTTCAAGGTAATATCGCCTTTTTACTGATTCATTCACCAAGTAATTTGCAATGAGTTTTGCGTGTGTATCGATCACAATTGAAAAATAGAAACATGACATTTCATTGAATAACTATTATCAAATTTTGAAATATGTGAATCAAAATAAAATATCTGATTATCAGCACATAAATCCTATATCAATACATTTATCATTCAATGCTTCTCACACGTACATAAGCGAACTTTTATATGTTGATGAATTTTCAATTATCAGTAACATAATTAGGAGTATTAATTGAAATCACAAAAATTCAATATCATAATCGTTGCTCACCTCTAATAGTTCAATCTATACACAAACGTTTCTTTTGATAAGCGAAGTGACGGTCTACATATTAGGTTGGCAACAAACTTTTTGCGTTTTATCTAAAGATGGAGGAAAGAAAAAACGCAAAAACTTTGTTGCCAACCTAATACATACTATTCTGACAATATACAGACGAACATGCCCATGATTAACACTATGCCGAAAATTCTTAACAGTGCGGAATAACTGAAACATACTGACGACGTAACTCTTGGATTATTTTATCTTCTAGCTCTTTAGAAATATTCATATCCTGAGAGATAAAGTATTTCTTATACAAAATATGCTTTATGTGATATATTTCTTTCCTTCTGAGCACTTCTAACACAATGAATATACTGAAAGCAGCACAAAATAGAGCTTATTAACACAGAAGTTATTAATAATACACAAGATATAAAATAAGGCATAAAAACGAACAAAATTTGTAATATTTTTTATTTGAAAGTTAAAAGAATAAAATGTATCGATTACATTTATTATTCACAATTAAAAAACAATACAACTTGTACTCTTGAAAACAAAAACTTTAAATAGCTGAGAAATACGGTCAGTGAAAAAATGCTTCAAACACTCACAAAATCTCAACTTTTTCCTTAGATATCTTGGGAACAAAAGGTCGAATGAAGATCAGATGTTCATCATTAGATAGATACACATGTCTCACCCGTATTTACTACAAATATGAAGTTTTAATTCAATTGACTTCCAAGATTTCTGCTAAGACCTGAAAAACGATTGAGCTTTTAGGGAAATAAATTATTTGAACACTTTTCTTTTACCTGTAGACAAACTTGAGATTTTCTGAAATCATCCTCTAATGTATTCGACATAAAAAAGTATCACCTTTTATTTAAAAACAAAATTTATTTCTAAAAAGAATTTTAATTTGAACGGGTGATAAATTGAATTTTAGCTGTTATCCTAAAAACTATCGGAAAACCAAAACTTTTCATTCCAAACTAAGCTGGAATTGAACTTCCGATATATCAGAAGAAAGAGCGTTTCTGAATGAAAAGTTTTGGTTTTCCGATAATTTTTAGGATAACAGCTAAAATTCAATTTATCATCCGTTCAAATTAAAATTCTTTTTAGAAATTTTGTTTTTAAATAAAAGGTGACACTTTTTTATGTCGAATACATTAGAGGATGATTTCAGAAAATCTCAAGTTTGTCTGCAGGTAAAAGAAAAGTGTTCAAATAATTTATTTCCCTAAAGTTCAATCGTTTTCCAAGTCTTAGCAGAAATCTTGGAAGTCAATTGAATTAAAATCTCATATTTGTAGTAAATACGGGTGAGACATGTGTATCTATCTAATGATGAACATCTGATCTTCATTCGACCTTTTGTTCCCAAGATATCCAAGAGAAAAGTTGAAATTTTGTAAACGTTTAAATCATTTGTTTTCTGCGCATTGTTTTTTTATTTGCTACTTTAAAAGAGATTCAACTGCAAATAATAAACAATTCTCAAAGCACCAAATAAAAGAAAAATAATAAAAACAATGTATCAAGTGAGATAAAAAGTGATCGTATCAAATAGATATGATCAAACAAAAATAAAAAATAACTAAAATAGCACACAGTATGTATGGTATTTTTTGTCATGAAAGAATTAAACGGAATGTAACAAAAATTATTTTGATCACTCACTACTTTTACCATCATTCTCTAACACACCATTTTGCATTGTTGATTTAATATACGATTCTTGAAATGGATTTGTTGTTGACTGTAAAAGACTCTCGGTAACAAATGGTGGCATCTGATTATTTTTTAGTAATTCTTTTATAATATAATATGCTGTTAATCTTGTACGAGCATACTCCTAAAACAAAATGGTATAAATATCGATTATTGGACAAATTTTAAGAGTTTTTGATCTATTAAAAAGCATTAGATGGTATCTCAACCAAAATTATTTCAACGTCTTGCGTCTCAAAAATTGAGAGAAGTGTAGTCATAACTCTTACTAAATGCTGATAACTCAAAAAGTTAAAATATCTTTGACTGAATAGTTCATGAAATATAGCTAAGTTTTATTTTATTTTATTTTTTTGTAGAATAATCACTGAAATATAAAGAGTTTAAGTGACACATTTTAATATTTGTTTAAAATGATGAATCGTTGAATCTTAATTAGATAATTTACATTTTTAATATGTATTCAAATGTGTCGCTTAATGCTACTGTTACACTCTTTATTATATTTTTATTCAAAATTTGATCCATAATTGAGAACAACTATGATCACTGAGATATACCCTCAAGATCTTAAAACCGAATCTTGAAAGATTGTGAGACATCTTACAAAATAGTGTACAATCTTACGATATCTCGAGACAAGAATGTAGAAAAATCAGAGCGACAGATCTTTTGAAATTTTGTAATGCATCGTCAGAAAGCTACAAGGCGATAGAAAATCTGACAAGATCTTATATGAATTTTCATGAATCTTATCTCAAGAATTCATTGTATTGGAACTGTTAATCCACGATGAATATTGTCTTGATGATCGAAAGGACGACTCTTGGTTCCTCAGGCTTCGTACTCTCTCATTCTCTCATTCTCTCACTCTCTCTCTCTCTATATATATATATATTGCATTTGCGTCTACTCATTTTTAAAAGATTTGACTCATTTGGTAGTAAACATTCAAGTTCTAGGAAAATAATCTACACATATAGAGAAATATATCCTAAAATTTTTGAGTGAAAAGATGTTTCTAGCTACGTTACAAATCTTTATAGGAAACGATCTAGAATTTTCAAAATGATTGAACATTGTAAAATAGCTCTATTTTAGTAACCACTAATGGTAAACAAATTAAAATTTATCGCATAAATAGAGGGAAATCATGAGGTTTTACACTTTAGTGTAAAGATAAAGTGTTCATTCCTCTTGAATCACGAGACTCAAAAAAAATGAATCATATCTAAAGGGGAATTTAGACAAATGCTATATAAAATTCAAGAGAGTTCTAAATAACATCTTTCAAAATATACCATATATCCAAATTTGATCGCTGTAGTTGACGCCATTGTTATAGCCCACAAACTCCAGAAGAAGTGTGATGCTAGTGCAAAATAATTTGCTTCTTTCATAATTTGTTTCGCTAATTCTGTTTGATCAATGTTATTTAATGGAAGAAAAGTAACTGATTTTGATTGATGTGAAGCAACTGACGCTGAATTATTTGTATTTGACACACTATCATTATTATGATCAATATCATGTGTTCCATTTGTCACCACATTCTGAGCTGCTTTCTCTTGTTCTTGATAATTGATTATCGCTTCAATATATGAATTGATAAAATTTAACTAAAACAACAAAATATAAAGATTTATTTTACTTCATTCTCTTTTAACCATACTTGTTGTTTCTCATTTGGATATAATTCATAGTTAAAATTAAAAAATGGCCATCCTTTTGCCGATTTATAATCAAATATAAATTCACAAAAATGATTTCCAATATCAAATCCTCTAAAGAAGAAAAAGAGTTGTGTCAAAACTTAGATCAAAAGTCTAAATAAATGGAACAGAATTTGTCTAAGCAAATCCCAGATAAGATAACTCGAGAAAGCAGTTTAAGAATAGCATCCCATATGCCCCTTCATTTCATGTTTACCCGTTATGACTTCACTATAAATATAAAAAGAATTTATCTTTTAAAGACTACATTTATTATCAGACATGTCATAATAAAAATACAGTATGTATGTACTTAGTATACAAGATCTGATGGAAGAATAAGGACCATATGTGTACTTATCTATCGTATATATACATACCTATTTAATATACATAGATATCGATATTTGTATATACATACTCTAATACACAGTGGATCGAAAAATTATTTGTTCACCTGTACAGTGTAACTTTGTTTTGTGTGCCATTTCAAAATGAAACAAGATAGAGAACTCTACCAAAGGTCATCATGTAGAGCATCATCGATAGCCTATATGCAAGTACTTTTTAAGCTTTGGATTTTCTTTTGTTTACATTTTATTAGGTGTCGGTTTTTGACAATGAAAAATTATTCGTCGACTTTCGAAAGAAAATTCCTTTTCGAACAAAAACTAGTATTAGTGAAAGATTTTAATTTATTTTATTACTTTGCCTCTAACAGAGTACATATGAATGAAAAAGGTCAACAGGGTCATGAAAAAAAGGTCAACGGGGTCATAAAAAAAAGATCAACGGGGTCATAAAAAAAAGTTTCTATATGAAAGGATACCATGTAGAATGTTGAGGTGATAGAATTTTTTTTGTTCAAAATATCTAATAACAAAATTCCTCCCGAACCAAAGAAAAAGGATATTAAAATCTGTTTGCCTGGTCTGCGCGAATCTTAGTTCATCTATGTGTGACTGTATTAATTAACCAATATTGATTGTAAAATCAATATTGTTAAATACAATCAATATCACTACATCCGTATTCGTATATGTGCATGCATATGAATGTTTAGGATTCTGGAATTTTGGTTGATACAAAGTCTGTACTCGTACTAACATAAGTAGGAATTGTGGAGATTAGAAGGTGAAAAAAAGTGGATACATTCTATATCCGTATTATGACACCACGCGTTCTTTAATCATCTTTTCATTCACTGTGATGTGATGCTTTCATTCAAATTTAGATGAGAAGAAATAGTCAATCTCACCTGTAATTATAACTACAATATTCAAAATCAATCACAGTTAGCTTTTCTGGAAAAGTATTAATTCTTAAAATATTTCCCGGTTGAAAATCATTATGTGTAAAACAAACAGGTGACTCGATAGTTGCCAATATTTTCCTTAAAAAAAACAAAAACAAAAAAAAACGGTATATTCTCATTTACTTAAACATAAATATCTGATGATCTTACTTTAATTCGGCTGCTTCTTCATGAAAATTGCATACAGCGCGAATTTCTTGAAATATATGTTGATCTTCAACAATTTCAAATTTATGTAAATCCGACGGTAAATCTGAGATAAAACTAAATTATTATTGAAGACAATAGAAAAACGTCTTAAGATAAAATGAAAATGCCTACTGATCGATTGTTTTATATAACCAAATCGGTTCTTTCACCAGTGGCATATCCAATTGATGCAGTTCGCCTAACATTTGAGCAATTTGTCTTGAAATGATTTCATCACGTATTTCATTTACAAGTAAACATTCAGCCTAGAAAACAATAATAAATATGGAATGAAAAAGTGATGGAAAGAAAAAGCTTTCTTCTTACTTCAACAAACTCTTCTAATCTTCCCTCTGGAAATATGCCATGAACATGTGGGCCCAAACGTCTTTCCGATAACAATGTACATACAACGCTGTCAATCAATAATGTACCACGATGTTTTTGATGACTTTCACCATATACTCTAAATTAAAACAGATGATGACTGGAACTATTATGAATTAGAAGATCTTTCGATGATGAATAATTCGAGTACGAAACGAGCTAACGTTCGGATTTGCATCATTTCGTAGAGATCAGTGTATTCCACTTATCACTTAATAGATCGGAGAAAATATTCGATTTTCAGATAAAGTATCTGTCAGATCTTTCCAAGAATAGGTCACTATCTCAGAGAACTGTACAAAACTCTTGCTCCCATTCGTTAACAGCTAAAAATGTCTAAGTAACTTCTAAGTCCATTTTTGTATGAACGATCTTCGGTATACTCCAAAAAGCTCCTGGTGATTGTTTGATTTCCAGACTCCTATGTTGGAATCGTGCGTAAAAAGGAAAACTTGAGGCGTGCGATTGAACTGCATTATGATTCTTCTATTAACTTTATATAAAAATGGATATCGGCGAGATGCTCAGTGTAGTTAATTATCTTTGTGTCTAGTCATTTTGAGGTTCATTGCGTATCAGAGGAATCTATTAGGTAAGTACCCGTAGAACTGCTTTTACACCTGAAATCTAGCAGGCAGGGGCTTAGAAGTTATGTAGATCAATGCCAGACACTTTTAGTTTTTAAAAAATGGGAACAAGAGTTTCGTACAATTTCCTGGAGCAGTGACCTATTCTCAGGGAAAAAGCACCTTCTTTTAGTACAGCACCTCGGCACCTTTCGACATCCAAAACTGCCGATTTAGTCTATTAGTAACGTTCTCGCTGCGTAAATTTAAGGTAGCGGATGGGTAAAGGGATCGAATCCGACCACGAACTGAACTTTTTTTTATCATTTGCTTCTATTCGAATCAAAAATAAAGTATTGCTGTCTTCTTAGCAGTATGATGTAAATGCAGCCAAACTTCCTTCTCCAAGTTTATTCGTAGACGAAAGGATCCGTGCAATGTTTGGTTCGATCCCACTACCGTATGCTTTGCAAGGCAGCATCTTACGGCACCTTTCAGCACCCTAATCGGCACCAGGTGCTGCTTTTTCCCCTTGCCTATTCTTGGAAAGATCCAACAGGTACATCGCCTGAATATTCAGCTTTTGAATAGTTTTTAATCAACTATCCAGTATGTGGGAGATTCTACCACTGACTCAAATATCAGATCTGAATCACCATCATTCGATTGCTCAAAAATTTTATGTACCAACTCAAGACATACCGAACTTTTGAAAATTGATCTGATACAACGAAATTAGATGAAGGCGAAAGAGATGAATAATTTTCATACCTTAACAACACCTTTGTTGGTTCGTTGCCTTGTTGTGGAACGTCATCAGGTAATGAGCAACAGTACAAATAATTCGATAAGCCACCACTAACAATTAAAATCTTTATTTGTGAATTAATTGGATTTCGGTGTCTGAGGGCAATATACAAACTCAGTTAAGTTAACTTACTGAAGCCGCTGCATTCTGAACTGATCAACACTAATTGATGTCCACGCACCGCATAAAAACCTTTGACACCATTCAAGCGCTTGGCTCTGGGTCACTTTTTCTTTTGGTAACATCGATTTTCGAAGTAAAAGCCTAAAACGCAATAAATCACAGTATTGAGGATACTACATATGTTACGAACTATATAAAAGGATCAATAAATTCATAAAAGCGAGCTTTTACTACGAACTTTCTTCTCTCGAATTTTTGATTAAACCACGATATAATGAGGCCCATCTAGCATCTATACACGCGACAAAATAAGGCGTTTGCGCGAAAAAGTGTTTCATGTTTCGTTCCAAACACACCGATTGAAAAGTTCTCTTTCAACAGCTCTTATATAGAAATAAGTTGATATTTACCCCGTGTCGTCAAAAACCCCTAGGTTTGGATGATTAGCCGCGATTTCGGCAAAAAGTCGTCGATTTCGAAATAGTAAAAATACCAGACAACTATTTTGAAAGACTTTAACTTAAGACTTTAACCCTAAAGGGAAAAATAGCATATCGGTTCTGGGTCATTTCTGACCTGAAAATTGGCTTCAGAACATGCATAGCATGCTTCAGCATAGACGTTTCAGACTCAATTTTTGTTGACTGATTAGTTTCGATCAAAACACAACAAAACATGGCGATCGTTGTTTGTTCAGGGTAGTTGTAAGAGAAAAAGCACAAAGAAAGAATATCTCATCTCTACATCGCCTATAAGCCAACTGGTAGTTTCTCCTCTCTACTCGTTGGTAAATCATGCTTTTAAGCTCTTTTTCAAGAACTTTCAAACCTATCTGATAGTTTTTGTTTGCATTCATCAAGTTCTATTACTCTTTCATTTCAGCTAATGCTATTTGTTTTTCTTTGTTAGAAATGGTTTGCGCGAATACAAAATAGAGGTGAACAAAGAGCAAATTATCGACGAACTATTTATAGTAGTTCTCAGAGCAGTCGCGACCAGTCCAGTTTTGCGTGGGGATGTCTGGTAAGGAAAAAAAATTTGGAGCAGAACGTCAAAAGAAAAACTTTTATACTTGAGAGAAAACAAAAAATTCCAATTATTCAGTGGGGATCGTCCGCAGGCCCCGCCACTGATCGCAACGACTCTGACAGCTCTGATAGTGATACAGATTCAGAGAGTAGTGAAGTAGATGCTTTTCATTTTTTTCTTTTTCTCCGACAAAATTGTTATTCTTTTCTTCACTTGAACTGTATTTTTCTATCGCGATATAATCTCACAATTAGTCGGCATGATGAATCGCAGAAAATCGTCGATTTTCATCACATGGATGTCCTTCTTGGAAGACGATGTGCGATTCATCACTCAGATCAACCCTATAGGATGTAGTAGGTAATCTTAATCTTGGAAACAGTATTGAATCCTATTCTAGATGCTATCCTAGGATTTTTGAAATCAGGCGAAATCAGTTCTGGTACTAGGCTTTTCATGTGATTCCTCAGGAGTGTGTACCATCCGAGGAGGAGTTTTTGACTGGGATAACGCTGTTTTTAAAGCCTAAATCATACCTTTTTTCTGAAAGCCTTCCTAAATATAATCCCAATGTACAAATAACGCAATATGAGGCACTTTTCAGTGGAATTCAGCTCGAAATAAGAATGAATTTTCTTATTCCAACCATTTTATCAGAAGCATAAATTTTAAATACGCACAGAATTCAAACGTGCTTCTGTCAGTCATAAGTATACAGAAAAGGAATGAGTAAAGTTTTCATATTGGGTCACACTACCCAAAGGAAGAGTAACAAAATGTGCTGATTTATACAGTCATGAGTTATTATTATGTAAAAAAATAACACAAATCATTGAGCGTGCTACTACAACCCCAAAACGACATATTCTCAATTCAGACTTTCTCAGTTATTAACTAGTAAAGGAAATTTCCTTTTGAACCTAAACGTACAGAAAAAGTAGTCTCCAAACTAACGAAGTTTCCGAAAACATGTCTACGGTGCAGAGAGTTTCCACACTTTCCCAAAATATCAATCGCACTCAAACTTTGCACAAATATTCTTCTGTCTATACTGTCTCTATGGGTTTAGCGGCAAATAGCATCGTCCCTCGCTGTAGATTTTTCAAAACCCAGGGTTTTCAAGCAAAGTCTATTTTTCTATAATCTTTAAGCCTGATCTACACAAGATTCAAAAAGATATGACTAGCAAATAAATAGTCTTTCAATGAGAAAGTTAAACTATATCGTATCAAGTTAGTTTACCTTATAGATACAAACGGGAGAAAGATATCGTTGCTCCTCAAATCAGAAAGAAGTAATAAAACATCTGTCTCCTAAATAAAATGCATTAAAAAAAAACAGTACTATTTCATTCATCTTTTTTATTCGTTATATCTCCCCACTATAATAAAAAAAAGATCAAGACTGTCATAAAAGTTTCTATAGTTTTATAGTCTTTGACTTTGATTTGACTTTTTATGTTTTACCTTTTTGCTGGTTCGATGAAATGTTTAAGAGATTCTTTTAAAGACATGATTGTTTGCAAACTTTAGTCTAAAAGATTAGTTCATACAACATAATATACAAAGTATGACTGTTCTAAAATATCGTAAGTTAATTCAATTCCGTATTTCAGACTTGGCGTATTTGTCAAAACAATGTGTCACTGCAACATATTTCCTGACATTTCCTTTTCTTATCGGTCGGTCATCCAGGAAAAAGAATCATCACATACCCAATTTTTTGGAAACGAATGGTAGATGCTTGAATAAATATAATAAATGATAAAAACATGTTTAAAAGTTAAGTTTTATTATTTAATAGACATGTACAATAAATAAAAAACAAATTAAAAAATAAATCGATTGCGTGTAAAGGAAAAAAACGACGACAAACGTATAGTAGATTAGAACTGATAAACTATCAAGAAAGGAAATTGTTTATTGAATGCCATATCGTACATCAGTTGTTACTCTTTGCAAAAGAAGAACGAATATCAGCTATTAACCACTAATGGAAATAAACGTAGCCTCTCACGAGAAAATAAGAACGATAGTGTACAGAAATATAAAGAGAACACGAATGATATGTGAAAGGACATTAATCATAGTAATGTTTATAGTAAGATATTCACATCTTCCGTAGACACGATCATAGAAGTTAAAATTGAAAACAGTCAAAAATTTTCTTTCTACCATTATAAAAAAAGAGACGTTTTGCATATAAGAACACACAATATAGGAAACAAATCTTAGCATATGTAAAATTTCTCCTCGATAATAAGAAATTGATGTTCATCCATGACAATTTGAAACGATTGCTCAAAAGAGAATAAAATTATTCACTATGAAAACACGTTTGGAACTAAACAGAAAATTCTTTGTACCGAGGGAACAGAATATATTTCGATTAAAGTCTCTAGAGAATAAACTGAATAACAGCTGATACACAGATATAACTAAACCATGTCTATTACGAAACACTCATATATTGTTCACTAGGATTCAGTTACACTAGAACTAAATGTGAGACATATACTCAGTCTCAGGGTATCCTTTAATTCTCACTGGTATGTCACTAGCAATTCTCACTTTTACTCAGTATTTTTTACTTAATGAAAAGAAAAAAATGACAATTCTTTGGTTCAATCTTAGCGACTTTCAGTTTCGTCCTATCCTATCATGGTCGTACACTGGGAAATGAACAAATTCAGATCTGGATCGGCAGTAAACTTATCATCTACTCATAATAATTGTCCTATACTGCGTACCAAGATCAGTGCCATATCTTGGGTACTTCTACAAATTGATCACACACCGACATTCAACACACACCACAGAGGGGGTGTGATCGAACCATTTTACTGGTCCAGATAAATTATAAACGCAAAAGTTAGTCATAAAACTTTACAATCAACGTAAAAAATGTGTTAATCATAGATTTTTGCGCAGTAGAAACACATCCCGATTAGATGGTTCTTGTACACAAGTGATGTAGTCAGAACCCAGTGAGTCATCATTTAACGTATTAAGTGGATTATGTGTGTTTTTAAAGCCAATGAAAAGCGTATCTCTGAACTCCAATGGATGTCACTGGTTGCTGACGATGTTAACCTATGAATTCAAATGTATATAACACAGTACATCTGGCCAGTGGTTGGTTCAAAAGACAAGTTGAACACTTGTATTTTTCTCATTTCATTTTGAATTTATATTTTTCTTTGAAATTATGTTTCAGCAAAAAACGTAAGTTTTCGACTTAACTCAAAACTTAAGCTGTTTACTTTCGCACTGGAAAAGGTAAGGAAGGTCGATTTTCGACTTACGTCTACGTTCAATATTTTAGCGTTTTGTACTTTTTGTTTTTAGGTGTTTTGTTAATTGGCTAAATGGAAACTTGAATGTTCGCCCTGCGGTAAAAAAGCATCATCCACGGATTTTTAGCAGCGAAAAAACATTTTATATCTGTCCTCGGTCCCACGCGTTAAAAGAAACAACCTGGTAGCTGTTTTAGTAGCTAGCAGTGACCGCGCAATTGCTTCAGAACAAATACTTGCATCAGTATTTTATATACTAATGCTAAAAATCGTACGCGAGCTTTTGCCAATAGCTACGGTTTAATCGTAATTTTTTAAACAGTTAATAGGATGATACAAGCAAACAAAAAAAACTTCAAGAAAACAATTTTTCTAAACATAATCTTAATCACAGCACAGCATTCTGCTGAAAATGAGCTGAAAGAGCCTGTCTTATTCTTGCTGCATTATTTGTCGATGTATTACACAAAGATTTTTTGTAAACTGGCTCGGCAGCATCCCATTCATTCTCTTCGTTGTCGTTCATGTTTACACAAAAATTATGCAACACACAGACAGTCTTTATAATCTTGTCAATACTATGAATGTCATATTCTAATTTTTTATGAATAATGCGAAATTGATGTTTTAGCTGACCAAAAGCTCGTTTCTACAACACTATAAGTTCGCGAAAGACAATAATTAAACAATGCTTGATCACGCGGCATATTCGGGCGATCGAAATAAGGCTTCATTAGGCTAGCAGACACTGGAAAAGCTCCTAATAAATGAGGGTATACATAAGTTTTTTAGCTGTTGTAAATAAAGGCTGTTTAATATATGAACATATAGACAAATGATTAAACACGTAAGCATCATTACACCGCCCTGGCGCTCCAATGTTAATATCAGTAGATTTTAAAGAGACATTGGCGACAGTTAAAGGGAGAACATTGTCGACTTTTCTACGAACCGAAAAGCTCTGCTTGAATCTGACGCTAACTGCTTAAAAAAGAGTGATAATCATGAGAGCAGGGTTACTTTTGATTGGAAAATGAAAGAGTGCGAGTTTCCTCAAGTATTGTCGTCACCTGGACGAATTTCAATTGCTTCTACAGTCTTTTAAGCTTAACATAGTAGGATTTGATACCTGCATATTCACTGTTTTTATTTTCAAGACTTCTCGCAACTATCTTCCTTCTTCTCATCATGTCTGAAGAAATACTACTTTGCTTATAGGCGTCTCAAAGGCGAAGCGCAGTGGAAATGCCAACAAAGTTTGAGAGAAGTCGATCTTTTGGAAAGCCAACCTTAAAAGGAGAATCCATGGTAGCTACCTACTCTTTTTTACTCATTTAATCTCTTTAAATCAAAACTCGATTTTCTGAGTTGTATGAACCAGAAGTCTTTTTGTTCAGAGAAGACAGCGAGCAGAAGTGCATTATCATCTAACAAAATAACCGAATGATGTTTTTTTATAATTAAAATAATCTGTTTCCTCACTTTCTGGAGGCTGAATGGCGATATGAGTGCCATCGACCGCTCCCAGACACATGGGATAATTGTATATATTTTCAAATTCTTATATTGTGTCAGTAATTTGTTGACATGTGTGAGGAAACTAAGTAAATTTTTGAAAAAAATTTCTACAGCAGCTTTACAAAACTGATGAAGAATATCAACTGCTGTAGATTTATCAATACCAAATAAATGTCCAACTGTACGTAATTCGCTCAATGACGATAATAAATATAAGGTGCAAGCAATCCGTTTTTCAACAGATATACTTTCGCGAAAACGAGTATTTTCTTTAACTCAAGAATGCGTCTAATAAAGTAACTAATGTATTGAAAGTGTCAAGATTAACGCGGAAATTCTCTTTAAATTGTTTTGAAACAACTAAATTCCACCATTGATCGTTTTTTGTGTAACTCCAAAGAGCTCAATCCGAGGATCTACACATTTCGCCATCCAATCGTAATAAAAGAATAAAAAATCGATTTCTTTTTTGTAAAACTTTTTTTCATCTTGCTTGATTAATGTGATTAGCTAGTCGAGTAAATTCGCGTTCAAAATACAATGTTTCATATAAATATTATTAAGAGCACCGACAAACAATTTTATCTTTTTGATTCATTTTTAATTTTAAAAGAAAAAGATCACTGGCCTAAAGTACTTGAAAAACTCTGAAATAATAACGAGATATTAAATATAACAAAAAGAAATGTTCGAAGGTCTTATTAGAAAATTATACGGTCGTTGATTGTTTGCATTAGTAAAATAGAAGATGAAACGAATATTTGACTAGAAATGTTGACTATTTAAACTTAATCTATGCACAAGTTTATATCATTACTATTCCATCTATTGTTATTATTAGATTCGTTATTATTACACGACACTTAGGAACAAACTAAGTTATCATTCGGGAGAAGTTTCCTAATCGGAAATTTCGAATGATTTTTTACTTTTTCCGCATGTTTTCCCCAGTTTTTTATTGACATTTGGACACTTCATTATTTTGTTTAAGTGATGGTAGAGGCTAGCATGATGAATGTGGCAAAAACTCTAAAACTAGGAAAGGTTTTCATAAAATCGGCAGTTTTTATAATAAGTAATTCAGCAAAACAAATGGATAAATATCTCTCGTATATGAGATTTCATCGGAAAATTTTCAAATCTCATAAAATTTCTAGTAAATGCAAAACGATGGATTTATCGAAGGCTTAATGTTAAGAAAGTCGGGTAAGATGAGTTAACACTGACCATTTTGTCCAATGGAAAAAGAAAAATATTTTGTTTCAGTTTAAAAAATATGTAGAAGACTCTTCGTTTAATCAATCAAACTCTTTCTACATTCTCATACTTTTAGAAACTTCTAAGTCCTTGCCTGCTAGATTTCAGGTGTAAAAGCAGTTCTACGGGTACTTACCTAATAGATTCCTCTGATACGCAATGAACCTCAAAATGACTAGACACAAAGATAATTAACTACACTGAGCATCTCGCCGATATCCATTTTTATATAAAGTTAATAGAAGAATCATAATGCAGTTCAATCGCACGCCTCAAGTTTTCCTTTTTACGCACGATTCCAACATAGGAGTCTGGAAATCAAACAATCACCAGGAGCTTTTTGGAGTATACCGAAGATCGTTCATACAAAAATGGACTTAGAAGTTACTTAGACATTTTTAGCTGTTAACGAATGGGAGCAAGAGTTTTGTACAGTTCTCTGAGATAGTGACCTATTCTTGGAAAGATCTGACAGATACTTTATCTGAAAATCGAATATTTTCTCCGATCTATTAAGTGATAAGTGGAATATACTGATTTCTACGAAATGATGCAAACCCAAACTCTTTAGCTCGTTTCGAATAAACTGAACTGAACGGACAGTAATTGATTATTGTATGCAGTGTTTTATCTAGGTTTCGTTTTTCGAGTGGGCGGTTGAAATTTTTGGAGGGGTTGTTGGCTAAAAAAGTTTTGCTAAAACGAAATAAACTTTTTATTATTGGGTGAGCGAACCGAAATTTCGGGTGGGTGCCGGCCATTCGGCCTATCCACTAGATAAATCACTGATTGTATGCTTCTAGAATCCGTATTGTACTCTAGACATGAAACATAAAATACTCGTTTTTTATTTTCCGTCTATTATATTTTGAATAAAAACAAACAATATTGCAGAAATATATATGCATATAGAAAAAGTATTGCAAGCTCGATTTGTACTCATAATACCGTTACGAGAAAACATTTTTAAATCCATGTAATATGATATGGAATTAATATTATTAACATGGTTTAGACTTGTCGGGTTGACCAGCTAGTCTGCTGGCACAAGAACCACCCAATATTTCAGGCCCTGTTTGACCGGATATTTTACTTCCAATTTCTTTCTTATCTTTATGTTCGGAATTGTCAACGGTTTTTTCACTATCATTATCACCATGACCACTAGTTTTCTGTTCAGCTGACATATTGAAATTTAGAATCCAACAGGTATCACTAATATTTTCGTTTGAAAAGGCGTTATCAAAAATACGCTTTAAGACAATAGAGAATAGATGAAAGCATGAAAGACGTCACTTACATCTTCTTTCAATGTTATCATTAACAACATTGAGTCACCGCGCGAAACACGAACGAAATGTGCACCTATACATATTTTTCGTTTCTGTCGTTAGTGCATAGATTATGAAAACTATTCAGTAAATTATTCAAACTATTCCCAATTTGAACAAGTTTTTGTAGTTATTTTCTATTAAAACAAACTCAATTTCAGCAACATTAACAAAAATAACATATTTAAATCAAAATAAAAACTAAAATGATAACAAATATCGCGTTATACACGGCTATTGGCATTCTCTGGTATTGCTGATCTTTCTTTATGAGTAATCACACCATTCTGAACAAGATCAGGAATTTCAACAGCAAGCCATGGACCAAGCTGGAATGAAATGATATGTATTATAAAATAACTTCACAATGCATTTCACACATAATTAACTACAAAACATTTTTCAGACATCAAATAGAATATTTAGAAACTATTATCCAAAAATTAAAACCTAAAATGACTATCAAGTATCTCTTCCTATTAACTGGTTTTAGAAAAATTCTTCACAAAAAGTTTATCTTCAATATAAACAAATAACTTACTCCAAGTGCTAGCGCATGTGAAATACCAAATTTTGGCACATTTTTTGCCCATAATGGCTGAAAATGATCTGTCAAACATATTTTTCCACCTCTAAAGTAGTGACAATATTAAACGTAAAAGTGAAACCGAATTTGAATACAACATACCGATACATTTTTGCTGTTTTTCCATCTAATTCTGGTATGGCTATTTCAGGTGCTGTTGTTGGATATGTGACTGGTATCTGTAAAAAAATAGACAAAATATTTTAATTAAAAATGTTAACAGATATGTTATACATACATCAAATTCAATATCAAATTCATAACGTAATAATTCGTGAATATACCAACATTTGCCCCACCATCTCGTGCCATCCTGACTCGATTCCAAACGAAACCAATCATTATCAGCGTCTTTATTACTTTTCACATACTATATAGAAGAAAGAAAGCTAAAATACTATACTTAGAGAAACATCTAATAAACATACCTGAATTAATGACTGAAGTTCTTCTTTCAAACGCTGTCTCCATTGTTCGCCATCTCTTGGACTAGCTTTTGTTTTTAGTAATGGTATATTTGAAAGAGTTTTTTTCGTTACTTCGTCAACCATCTGAAATAGACAAAAGCAAAATAAAATAGCACAATCATATTTTAGTTAAGGATACTCCTCCCCTTTACCACCTTCTTGGAAACCGTAGAAAAGCGATGTCTGATTGAGTTCAAATTCATACCAAACACAGAACATCGAAAAAGAAAATCGATACATTTTTACGCAGAATTCTTTGAAATATTCTTCTATGAGTTTCCGGAAAACGTCGATTTCCATCCAGGTACATTACGACCCCATCAATCCGATCGCGCTCAAAATCTCTGGAACCAAATATCAGAATGCGAATTTTTGTTTTGGTTTCTGATTTTTCCTTCTCGAAATATGGAAAGAATGGCTAAAACAATTCAGTTTTTATCACACAATTCAAGATTTTAAGTAGGGTTAAAGAATCCTGAGCAAACATACAGCAATTTTTCTTTTTCGATGTTCTGTCTTTCGTATGGATTTGAACCCAATCGGGCATCGCTTTCTACGGTTTTCAAGAAGGTGGAAAGAGGGCAGATACCCTTAAGTTCAGTCTTTCAAAGATAGTTGTGAAATTCTCAAATAAAAACGGTTGTAATTTTGCATAAAAAACAAGATGAACTTATAAAAATGAATTCTCTGCTTAAAGTTACTGTACATCTAAAATTTCTCTTTAGAGTGTAGATCAATCCGTTTACCGATACAATTTATCTAACAGAAGTATAACAAAAACAGAAAGAATTACAACTGAAAAATCGACAGTGAAGAGAGGCTCAACAAAATGTATGGACACTTAAAAATGAAAGTAACTGTACAACATCAAATTAATTAAATTTGACACCATCAACACCATTATCAGAGAAAACAACTGCTTGACCACATTTTTCTAATTCACTCAATATACGACGAAATAATTGTGGATCAATGTCATGAAATTCTAAACAAAAACAAAGAACGTTGATGATCGTACGAAAGACAATCGATTTGAAAATGTTTTGCATGCATATGTACCGGCTGTACGTGAATCATCTCCGTGTAATAACTCATAAAATGTACAAACAGTACCATTCATTCCACGCGCATTGATCTAAAGTTTTAAAGAGAAGATAAACGTCATTTAAATATTTCTTAAGATTTACCCATTGATAAACAGTTTTAGCCCATTCTTCAGGTGATTTCCATAAAACTAGACATCGTCGTTTGTTTTTGTCTTGCCATTCAATGTTACCTTCAAAAACATACAAAATGATGATCATAAATGAATCTATTAATTGGCATACCTCTTGCACGCAATTCTTCGAGTATTATCTGAATAAAATTATTATCAAGTTGTCCTAAGCTATCAGTTAAAGATAACGTCTTGATGTGTTTACAGTTCACCAAAAAACAGAGAGAAAAAAAGGATACGGTTTAGTTTTGAATTTGAAAATGGTGGAAATTTTGTTGCATCATTAACATCAAATGTACAAGTTTTTTTTATTCGACAATAATCAAGTATTAATGAACACCATGCATCCAACTGTTTACGTCTTGTATCAAGATTTGGTTGAAGGCTGTAAAAACAGAAAAAAAAAACAAATACAAATTTCAGATACTATTCTATAACTAAAAGACTTACGTGAAAAATGGTGGAAAATCGTAATACCAGGAAATATCAGAAAGTTTTGTACCTGTCATAAGTTATCTGAAAATCAGACATAAATTCAGTTAATCATGATAATTACGGCTCTAAAGAGTGAGTGTTGACACATTTGAATCTATCAAGCGAGAAATCAATTACTATATTATAAATAGTAATAGCAAGAAACGTTTTTTCTTTTCAGCTTTAAAAAAACAATAAGAATAACAAACTGCATAGCAGTTTCTAACAATTATTGTATAAAGAAAATACATAGAAAAACAGAGACAAGGACCACTAAGTCAAAGCATCTTCATTTCTTAAATATTCGCCAACGTCAGATTGATGAAACACGACCGTTGCTAATGGATCCGCTGCACGACATTCAACAGTCGATTTGGCTGCTACGCCAAAACCCTAAACATAAAAAACAAAAATTGATTTTTTACTACCATCTTCAAATAGAAACGTACCAGAGGAACATCATTCATTGTGTAAACAATAACACCATTATATTTAGGTGTGTTTTCTGTGATACGTCCTAATCCTGTTTTCATAACATTGTGGCCATAAAGAAATTGTTGTTCAGCACTCGGTTTTAACCAGACTTTGTACTAGAAGATAAGATATAACACGATATTGATTGATTCAACAGATGGCGCAAAGAAAATCGACCATTTAGTATTTGATTTAAGTTTTAATTCTACTGTGAAAAAATGATGGGTTCTGGCAAAACTTGTACAAAATATTCATGGAACAAACTTTGTTATAGATAGTCTCTGATGTTGATCTTAAATTAATATTCGTTTGTCCACATAGACACTTCTTGAATCAACCTATAGAAACTATCATGAGCTTACAATCGGACTCATACCGATATTTCATATTGTAGAGCATATCGAGTTACCTATTGAGAAAAGTTTTGGAAATTAATGGCTTAGTTTCCTCAGAGTTATAAAATTCTCATTGAAATAGAAGTAGAAAACTTCAGGGTATACATTGAATTAGAATGTGAAAGTTTTATAACTCTAAGGAAACTAAGCTATTTATTCCCAAAACTTTTCTCAATAGGTAACTCGGTATGCTCTACAATATGAAATATCGGTATGAGTCCGATTGAAAGCTTGTGATGCTTTCCTAGAAATCCAGTTTGTATAGGTTGATTCACGATGCGTCTATGAGAATTTATGATCAGAACCATAATTTTTCAATATTCCAAGGAAAGAGTGGCCAATCGTCACTTGGCAAGATTTCCTCGTAAGAGATGAGAGATTTGAAAGTTATCGGAAAAATGTTAAATGGTCAATTTTTTCTGCTAGAATAAGAGTGGTTACCTTTGCATAGGGTGCAACAAAATCTAATGCCGTTATATGTAAACGAAATTTTTTTGTTTTTGTAAATTTTCCAAAACATGTGCCAAAACTAAGTAACTCTTTTCGAGGAAAATGCATGGCATATTTAATAATATTTTCGCTAAAAATAACAATGCTATAATATACACCTTAAATAAATTTCTTTTCTCTCATTTTAGATCGAAAGAGAATAATCATTTTGTCAGTTTAGTCTGGTTTCGATAATTTTTCGAGGTAATAGAAAGTACCTGCAGTAATAAACTCGTTCTTTATGTAATCGAAATGTGTAAAGACCATCAGGTCGTTCGAGTAACAAACGAATATTATCACCAATACTAAATAACAATAGATGCGTAGTTTTAAAAAATATACAATATAGAAAACAACTACGTACTATTTAGATAACTTTTCAAAAAGTGCTGTCGTTTCTTCGTCCGTCAATGGCCTCATCTTTTAATCTACAATAAATAAAATTAAACGAAAGTCAGTTCAGTTTCTATCACAACATACGAATTCGATTGAGTTTAATTTATACAAACGAACTAATAATATTGAGACAGCAGTTTGAAAAGAATACAGAATTAACAAATTATTTTCTTTATGAACTTTTACATCTCGCTAAAACTTTAAAACTACATCAGCATTTAACTTTTTTATTTGTCAAGTAAAAGGCACAGCAACGGTACGCGGAGTTGTATTCAAGTTGTTACTTGTAAAAAAATGGCTAGTCCTGAATATGACACAGATATTGCATACGGAATGCAGAATATGAAAACAAATCTTACGCTGTAACTACAAAGATCCGATGTTTGTGAAATTCTAGAATTTTCTCTATGCAATTTAATATGAAACTTAAGCAAAAGGGTTAATAACAACCTACGGCTGTTAGGAAGCAGATATTGACACTATCTGTAGCCATGATGTTAGGACTCAATAATCATACTGTTTAAAAACACTGTCAGGGAAAAGTACAGTAAAAGTATGCAAATAGCATAGAAAAGGCGTACTACTGGAAGTCCAAACTTCAGTCTCCAAAATGCACAAATAGCAAACTTTCCCCGTGCTTTTAGTATGTTCAAGTAACAGAAAAAAAGATGCCTTTAGTGTGTGTTTTTTTCTCTGATTGGCTTCCACGTTTTACCAAAAAGTATTCTCCTGCTGCGATTTTTAGAACTACTAAAGACGTATCAAAAGCACACTAAAGTGTGCTATAATGGGGTAGCTTATGCCACTCCATCTGTAATATATTTATCTCCAGATCCAAAATTCGGCTAAGTCATGCATATTTTATCACATGAGAGCCATGAGATATTTATTTATTATCGATTCAATTGGTTTTGACGATGATTTACATGCGTTTCAAACTGTTAAAACAAACCGAGTCAGTTACTGCTTATTAGACCATATACAATCTAAGTGGTTTTTTACTACAGCTGAAATAAACAATGAACTTTTGTTTATTATTAATCAGAAGTATGCACTATGGGAAGTCAATGAGGAAGAATCTTAGAAAATTATAAACTTATTGCTAAGCATTATTGAAGAAAAAAGTAAACTTTGTAGAACTATCGGAGAAAACCACTGATGTTTTTGTTATGCTGAGATTGTGGCAGACAAGAGGTGAATCCGTACGGATGGAGTAGAACGCATATAGAGTTAGTACTTTATATACTTTTTATCGACTAACTCTATATGGGTTCTTAAATTCAGTTCTTAGCGAAAACCATATCTCATGTCTCCCATGTGATAAAATATGCATGATTTAGCCGAATTTTGGATCTATATGTCATCATTTCAGCATACTAAGTGTGTTGTTTTCACACTTTAAACGCGCTTCTAGCACGCTTTGAAAATTGTGAGAGCAAACTGTGTTTTTATCACACAAAGCAAAGCAAATAACCGAACGACACAATCAAAGTTTGATTGGAGACTATATTGGATCATCATCTGTAAGCTTATATAGATGTCGCGTTGGCTGAAACTCTAAGCACGAAAATGCATCAATATAAATCGACGTATATACACAATGTTGTCTTTAATTTTAAGACCGACCTAAGTTCGGGGACTTAAATGGCATCACGAAAAAGACTTAAGTTGGCGATTTGTTACTTTTTAAAAGTCGTCGACAACAATGACAAACTTCTGATAAAAACTCACAAAATAACAAAATATTTATTCTCTAATCCTTAGAATGTCGTTTTCGTCGAATCGTATCTTTAAATGCCTGATCTATTAAAAAAATGCGTCAATGACTCAAGTCCGACTTAAGTTTTCGGTCTTACGAGGGAACATCTCCAAGTGTGAATCTCAGTTTTAAATGTGATATGTACCAATTTGTAGAGCTCGACGAGCTGATTCTTCTGGTATGTTCCGTTTTTCCCCATAGACCTTAAATGAGAAAATTGGTAAGTT